ATTCCATATCTTTGTTACACACCAAATACCATTCATAGCCCTTAAGATTACTCAGGCAGCTAAAATTGACTTACACAATCAAATGTACAGAAGAAAGTTTTGGAGTTTTTTTTAACAAAAACGACAAGACAAGAAGGAAAAAAGAGCGAGTTATTCTTAAACCTGAATTTATTTAGTGCGTAATTTGTCTGCGACATAGAGCATATGACTGATGTTCGTAGGAGGATAGTTCTGAAGAAGTTTGAGGTTCGACGTGAAATCTCCAGCAAGCAAACGCCTTCGAACTAAAATCAACATTGCACAACATATCCGTAGTAGCGTCTCCTGAAATTTAAATTCCCTTGTTAGCTTTTTATCTTACAACTTACAAGACAACAAAGTGCACGTTAATTCAGTTTTGCTACCTTAGATTTTACAATAAGATGCAAACCGAAACCAATCTCTAGGTCTATAACTGATACATATCTGTATCGTTCTTTATGTCTGCTAATACTTTCCTACATGCATACGTTTTAATGTCCTAATTCCAGCTGCTCGGAGGTATTGAAACATATAGAATTGACCTAGTTCACGACTTACGGATGCTGAATAGTAGTAAACGGAATACTACCTGAGGACCCTCGGGGTCGCTTAAGAGTGTGTCCCAGATGTGAAGGCTTTCCACGAAGTTGAACTCTTGAGTCAATAGGAGTGTGATCCATCTGAACGCATAGAATTGCGGGTTTATCTGAAAATTGACACATAGGTCTCAATTGTCACAACACTGGAACATTTAAACAGATATACAGAAGCTTGAAATTTTGAAAGCAAATGTATACATTTTCATTGATTTAATCTAGTATTAGGGTAGATTAAGAATTGAAAGTTTTAGCACAACATTCATGCAACACATAGCACTGAACCAGCAACAATACATAAATACCGGCAAAATCTTTTATTCAGAGACATACTTAATGAATATAGCAAGACGTCATCAACCAAAGTTGTGTGCAATATCTTACTTTAGTTGTGACTTCTAGATGACGCCAAAGTTCTTCATCATGATGCTTCAAGAGCATGGACAGCCTTGTTATAGTGTAACGTATACCCACAACGCTGTTATCAAGTTGTTGACAGAAATTATCTCGAAACCCACTCATCAATTCAACAAAACAGAAAAATGCATCTGATTCAGCATACGCCTGCATAACTTAAAATGCCAGTGTTAAGCAAATAAGGAGAACAGGTAGTGTGTTAACCAAAAGTGGTAGAAAAATGCGAGTAAAAATGAAATAAGAAAAGAAATGGTACATTAGCATGGGCAAGTACTTACTGCATTTCCTTTATCCGAGTCGTTTTTAAAGATGTAGAAAATAGGTGCCAATATCTCATTCATCCCTTGTACATATCTGATGCCAGGATTCAACTTTGCGAAAATAGTCAATACGTCCTTCAAAGCATCCTGAAGATGCAAGACATGTATAAATTCACCAAGAAAAAAAATCGTATACAAATGTTTTGATCAGTTTTAAACTATAACAAAACCAAAACCTAACCTGATTAGATTTTGCAGCCGCTGAATCCCCAGAGAAAAAGTGCATGTCTGGATGAGTACGCATCACATCACGGTCGATTTGTTCCAATACTTCTGTGTCCTGAACAGTACCAACATGAAATTAGGAAGGTCATTTTGCAGCTTTATATGCAACAAGCACGGAATTACTACACTAAACCAGGAAGAGAAAAGGATCTTTCGTAGTGAACACGTGCACCATTACGTGAGAAAAGGATACTATGGAGCCTTAAATGAACTAAAAGCTTCAATAGACCCCTGTCTTTGTGTATGCCAGTACATTTTTGCTCAGTGTGACAAGGCACCCTATACTAATATTTAACTGTAGCAAACCTTAACTAACCAAACCTCATAAGAACTGAAACTGAAAGTAAAAATATTCACAGGAAGTTGTTTATCAGACGTTAAGTGAGAGGTTGTACTTCTCCAGTTCTTATACCTCTCCTAAATTTGCTTTTAAAACCAACTGGGAAGTGGCAAAATCATGATTAGTGATTATCAAATTTTTAGAATCGCACAAGTCAGCAGTTACATCCAAATATCTGAGAATCATATAACTCAGCTACATCATCCATAATACTTCTAAAACTTACAGGCAAAATGTAACAATTGGATAATAAGTTAATAACATCTAAACTTGTCAATAGTCACACAAAAATGGTAATACTTGAGGATATCACAAGCTGAAAATCTAAATACCTTGAAAAAATTATTCCATAAGCTTGTTGTTCCAAGACTTAAGGGATGATCCTCAAGAGTTATCTTTGACCTTGAAAGGGCACCAGGGCTTTCGATTTTTGGTTCATTACTATCACCACCCTTTGATTTATCCATTTTCCTTGTCACCTCTGACTAACTAGCCACAAAAATATATAGAAACCAGGGTTATCTTAAATTGAAAATAATAACGAAACGTGAAAAGGGAAGAGTTGTCAAACTAGATATTGTAAACAGTCTACAATGACCGACTTTTCATCTAACTACTATATCCTCTATTTGTAACTTTCAAAAGTATCACAAGCCCAATTACCCTAGATCAGTCTGCTTAGTCAAACACATCACGCCTACTTAGCTGTCATCAACTCATCATACTATATACTAACACATACAAGCTTCTGGATCAAAATAATAGAAAACCCTGCCTCCCCATTGATCATCACTGAGTTCCAGTTGATCAACATATCACCTAATGACAGTCCTCATCGTCTATCGACACTGCATTTTCATCACCACACCCTTAGCTAGTAGCAACAGATATGCCACTATGTCTACTTCATCGCTCGTTGTGCCCAGGTTAACAGAAATGCGACTATGTCTATTCAATCTATCTAGGTAGCTATCATTTACAACAAAGGCATCCACTCTAATCCGATGTTTGATGCAATATCTCCCCAAGGGAAGAGAAATGATTACCCCATTATGCGTCTCTTCAAAATCAAATCAATACAATGTTTCAGTATCAAATCAACAAATTGGACTTACAGGATTCATCAGAAGCTCCTCTTTGAATTGCTTGTACTGTGATCTTTTCTTAGCTAACTCAGAAGACCACAGGGACCGATCCGGTGACAGATAACCCAATAAAAGCTGTCAGATTCAAAAGAAACAATATGAAGCAAAAACTGACAGAATAGGTTTCAAAAAATTGCATTCTCAAAAACAAAGGAATCACTGAAAATATGTATCCATTTCCACACACACTCAACGAGTCAGTGAATCAGAATAGATTGCATTGCATTACTAAAAGCATAGTAACAACAATAATGAACCCTAAACATTTTCTAATCAAAACAAAGGAGTGGAATGCGTTACCTTCCAGACAAGGGAGCGAATTCCAGCATCATCAGGTAGACCTTGAGAAGCAATTTTCCTCAATTCGTTCAAGTCAATCACCTTCTTGGATAACTGGAAATTCCCCAAATGGAAGTAAGTAAATTACACAAAGAGAAATCAATCAAAATGCGCAAACAATGATGTGGTTATCTTGAGCACTAACCTCAGCCACGACCTGCGACTTTCGAGAAACATCCTCAGCAGCAGCAAGAGCAGGCGGAGTTTCATCCTTTTCGTTGCCATTCTGTAAATCGTTAACCTCAGATTTAGAAGGAGGACGAATCGGAAGAGGCGGAGAAGGTGATGCGGTGGAAATCGCGGAGGGAGAAGGAGAAAGAGGAGGACGCTCGACGATCGGAGGAGATGGAGCGACGGTAGTGGTGGCGGGAAGATGATGGAGGAGACGATCGTCGACGGGAGAAGGAGAAGAGGTGGACCAGAGAGAACTGTTGAGCCACTCAGGGATACCTTTCTTCGCCATTTGATTTTGGGAAGGTTTCGAGTCTGTGAACGGAGAGGTTAATTAAACCACAATGCGAAATCAACCCGACCCGGTTACAGCTGGGTCACGCTTCAAGGACTCGTTTTGTTTTGGTAAGCTAATAATAACAAACAAACTAAAGCCAAAAATTGCATAATTTAACTAGGTCTGTCCACTTCGGGACGGATGGTTCTAGCCGTTCCATATCCATCCAAAAAAATTTTGTCCTATTTTTGTTTTTTAAAAAGTATTTAGATCGTTAATTTTATTAAAATGGTACCAAAAAATTGATATGAAATTTGTTACAACAAAGGTATATCCGTATATAAAATTTGATTTTTTTAGATAATATAGTTTATTAGCAGTTATGTGAATTAATAAAAGTAAGTTTACGCGAGAATTTCAACGTTATGCAAGTAGAATCGTTTAACTTAGGCTCATGTGCTGTGTTTAGGAAATTGGTAAGTTAGGCTCATGTGCTTTGTTTTGGTTGCGTCATCATTAGCTTTTGAAACGGGAAGAACAAGAACATCGACGTCACTTCGTTTAGCTCCATAAACCTTGTGTTCTATGTCGAACTACGGACTGAAAACCTTGTATGCATATGTTTCCATGTGTTTTTAAACTTTTTTGTCGTGGAATACATTCTATAGGATTATAATCTCGATTGTAATTCTAAACCGATTCATTTATGAAATATTTACCATTTAGCAAAAAAAGAATCGTTTAAC